GCTACAACTGCACCGCTCTTTGCTGAGCACCCTACTCGAGTGACCAGATCAGCTCTTCCGTTGCTTCTTTTCTATTTCTCCTTCTCTTTTCCACTGAATCACTTGAGGGGAATGACTCACAGTGTCCTTCGTTTGATGTTCTGAACCTGACAGAATAGATGGCTCAAAAGGAACGTGCGAGAGAGCCGTGATGAGCGACAGTGTGCGTATGTCATCGGATCATGTTCCGTAACGAATGGATGACCATATGAGGGCCATCTGCAAACGATCCCACATGCCAATTGTCGCCACTTGGCTGTTGTACACACTGGCAATTACTGTGCAGTCGCCTCCCAGTTATCAGCTATTTGTTCGCACTACCCATTCGCTCTCAGTAAGGACCACTCAATTAGTTGAGGATGGGAATGGCAACGTATGTTGTTTGGATGACGAGGCTGTTCACGGCTGCAACCCGCAGCCGAATTCCCATCATTCGTCACAAACTCGACGAGCCGAAACATAGCCGGCTATTCAGGAATTCGGCTGGAGCCCTTCAGTGTTTTTCATTCCACGACTAGTGGAACACAAATTGAATGTTGCAGAACCCAAAGGGCGGGAATGCTTCCAAAAAGAAGGAGAGTTATTAATGAGCAGAAATCCAACTCGGGCATCTCATAGTGCTAAGGTTCCAGTCCTACTAGCAGTTCATTAAACCTCAAAAGATGCAAATCTTAACCCACTGAGCACCGTTTCATCGCGCGACACTAGCCGTCTAGCTTGGTTGTTGCAGCAGCTTCACCGCTATTTAGAGTCAGAACCTGAAACCTCGCGGGTACCCTGTCTAAGCTTACTGACCCTCCCATTGAGCTAGGCAGGTGGAAACTCTTTCGTCTATGTGATGGCTAGATCGATATGCCTTATTGACAGATTCTACTTTCACTTCTTTAAGCTAAACTGATAATGTATCGAAATGTCGAGATAAAAACGCCTCATTGGAATACCGACTACAAACAGAGATATTTATGGGCAGAAAACTGGTCCTCCTAAACAAAAAATTATAATTTAACCGACGTCATGGTTCTCGAAGGAAGCACTGATCCATTGGTATGTCTCCCGACACGTTCAAAGAAGCTTCGGCCATTAAGGAGCCTCTTATTCAAGGGGGGGGGGCTTCAGGGTGAAGCTCAGCAGAAGATACCAAATGTTCTACCATAGCGCAATACTAATATGTGTAAGCAAGGTGCGCTGCTTCGTCCATTCTTAGTGGAGTTTACGTAAATTTTCTTTGTGCAAAAATGCGTCCCAATGTTAGAGCACATAGTATGGAGCACTACGTTTTTGGTAGTGTCCATGTTCGACTCTCGGTAAATCTTGTCATAGAGAGAGCTACTTCAGTGAGGTTTGTAGAGCCGCAACCAAGATATCATTAATCCGCCTTCGTCGAGCCGTGGAGAGTCATAAAAAATGCGATCACCCCCCCCCCCCCCCCCCAAAAACAACATTTCAAATTCCAAGAAGAAAGTGCCCACAGACCAATGGCTCTAGGAAGCAATCACTAAATCACGAAACACTTGGACCCACTTGAAAAACGACCGCACTTGGTGTATACCACCGCTAATCGGACTTACAGGGGAAGGCTTCAGATAACCTTGCCCCTCAGCTTGAAGCGGATGGCAAACGAAGCCCACAGAGGTCAGGAAAAGCATTGAGTTTTTCGTTAGTCGCGGGCTAGGGCATTCGTCCTACCTAATTAGCGGTTTTGTCTGTGATTTTTGAAAGTGCTAGAATATTTTACAAGTTAAAAGTTTATTACATTCTCGATAATCTTCACTTTGTTGAAATCTCCACACCGTAGGGCCATTTAGTGAACCATAAATTCAGCAGCTGGCCTGAAATCTACCACTATTTCAGATCGTGTTCGCGATTCATTCAAAAAGGAACACAGCTCAAAAATGGGACCCTCAACAAAAACAGTTGAGAGCTTTGTTACCGTATTCGATGGTAAAAGTGATGGTGAGGCAACTTTCCCACGATGACGCTGTGCTCATTCTTTTCGGCCATTATAAGCAATCTTAAATGTTTATGTTTAGCAATGAATTAAATTGCGAATCCTCGTAACAAATACCTGTTATCAGGATAGATAAATGAAAAGGATCATTTGAATAACTTCTTTTTGAATAGAGCATAATTATTTTATTTGATTGTTTTGTTAGATAACTGCTAAAAAACTGAATAGCAAAGCTTTAGCCCCAGCCGGGATTTGTACTCGGATCTCTTGCTCTGGGGAATTGTGGTACCAATCACACCACTGAGGTACCATGTCACTCGGAGTCAGCTTTCGATGATAACCAGCTCTCGGTGGTAACGTCACCATAGCTTATCAGCATTCACACGTGCAACTGAAGCGGGGGGGGGGGGGGGGGGGGGGGGGGGGGGGGGGGGGGGGGGGGGGGGGATGGTTAGACCGATTATCGCAGTGAATCCGGCGTCGAGGCGCTGAAAGCTTTTCCACCGTTCTTTACTTGTTTATGCGATTTGTTTCATTTTTAATGGTTTTACTATATTCGATGGTGTAATATTCAAATTTTTTATTTTTTTTATAAATTTATTAATTCGAAAAATTCAATATATTACTTGAAGTTTGAATTTTATCTTTTCCCACCTCATGGGCGGAAGTGGTGTAGTGACAAGTGGCGCGCTTACCACGCGAGCGGTCCGGGGATCAAATCCTGGGTCGTGAGTCGCCCGGGCCAACCAAGCCTTCCATCCCTCCGGGGTCGGTTAATTGGTACCAGACTTGTCTGGGAGGAAAAAAACACTGACTTGTACATCGGCTGGCCCCCGCAAGTCATTGTATAGGCCACATCGCATTCAAACGCCACTGCGAATGTACAAATGGAAGTAGAATGCGTGCCGCATCCCAAAAAGGGATTGATCAACGGCAAATGCTTTATCCTTTATCCTTTTATTAGTCCATTTCTTTTCAAATAAGTCTTACCTGTGAAGAATTCCTCGTTGTCATAGTATTCTTTTCGTCAGTTCTGCAAAACCGATGACGTGAATCGAGGAGTTGGTTGGAAATTTCTTTTCAACAATTCTGACGGACGCTCTGGTCGCTGACGCAAATCACCATGGATATATTGCTTAATTCCAACATATTTAGCGGTCCCGCTTTCCACTGCCAGCGATTAACTAGCTTCCAGAAATGGAATTGTGCGATGGAAATAGGCGAAACTCGCGGACAACCACCGAACCGAAAAATAGAAGAAATTCTTGGGAAAAGTTCCTTGATACTCCCCGTTGTGGAAGTCGGCTTCAACCATCGATACAAGCACTTGTTTTCTACAGGAAAACAACTAAGTTGTGAAAATCTGGAGGAAAAAGTAGACATCTAAAAGCCCATAAATCCTTTCCAGGCCATGGAATCCGCCTTACAAGTGCCATCTTGCGCAAGGTATGGTTTGGAGCCATCCAAGTACATTCCAGTAGCAATTCTACCCCTATAAAAATTAGTAATCGCTCATCAAATTTTGCAGAGAACGCAGGGTGCCCGCAGAGGGCGGCTCGTCTGTGATTGGTCGATGCGAGGGAGGCGGGACCGCGCTCCCACGAAGCAGCTGTTTCCACAATCACCTCAGTCGACCATGACCGGTCAGACACGGTCACATGCTACCGTATGCCGGCTATCTTCCACATTTCTTCAATAGAATGGCTCATACAGTGCGTGCTTCGTGAGCAGCAGCTCTCAACAGTCTCAACTCATCTCACCAATCCTTTTTTCAAATACACTTTTCAGATGTCCCTCCCGGACTTTTGGGTACATCGATTGATAGCGACGACTACACCATCACCGGTGCCGTCATGCTCCAGCGCTTCGTCGGATGACATCTCAAAGCTATCGGATGGACCTCCGCTTCTGAAACCCGAGGCGATGAAGCCGATGACGGATTTTGGAGCCCTACAATTGCTTCAGATGCAATTGATGTGGCAGCCGCAGATAATGCAAAATTTTTTGGCTATGATCCAAGCTGATCAGGAGCAACGGCGGCACGAACAGATGAAGAAACTCAAGGTGAGCTTTTTTGAGTGGAGGGCCTGATTTTCAGACTTTTAAGAGAAATTTTCAGGAAATCACCACCAACAATGTTGTGAATTCTCGGAAAAGGCCACCATCGGTGGCCAGCGAGGGAAAGAAAACAAAGCAGCGAAAACTTGGAGATGACACAGTGAACGCCTCGCCTGTCAGTGGAATGTTCATAAAGGTTCGTCATGGGTCAACAACTCAAATTATTCCGAGAATTTCTGAAAAACTTTCCTCTTTCGATATATTCCTCTAGATGATCTTAGAAGAGAATTTTCCCCCTGATCATTTTGCCCTACAAAGTTGTTATCTTTTTTTGGTTCGCAAACAGTCGCAATACGGAAGAAATCTGAATCGGGCGCTCGCCCTTCCCCTTCCGCCACCTCCTTGAGTCCAGGTGTCATTGGTACTGAGCCCGATAAAACTTCGAAATCTTACCTGCTAGACTTCCCACAAACGAGGAGGACAGAGTTTAACTTGTTGCATAAGCCATGAAACGCGGAAAATTCGCGAACCAATTTCTCAAAATTTCATAGAAATCTAACCTTCCTAAGATCGCCTTTTCTCATGATCTCAAAAAATATAACCACTTTCCCTCAAATATTACCCTCTTCAAGGAAAAGGCCCTAACGGACAAGTAACCCTGCGTGTTAGTCATGCAACCTCATTTACAATCTCAGAGTGCCTGAAAAAAAAGTGAGAATGTTATTCCACCTTTCCTTTCTTTCAACTATATCACGGCGAGTGCTTAAGAGTAATTTATGCGTTTTACCCTCTTGCATCGACGAAATATAACGCAATGTAAGTTCGGAAGAATCGAATAAGCAAAGGGGGGGTTTGCGTTTATTCTTTAAAGTTCTTTTCTTAAAGGTTTTTTTTCGGTCGGTATTTGAACAGCAAGTTGGAATTCTTTGACTATGTCAAAAGTCAGATCAGCCTCCTGCGTCTACGCGTAAAGGTGACCCAATAGCTATGGCCCGTTTCCGGAACCCGTTCATAAGATCACCGTAAGGCACTCACGGCTCATTATTTGTCAGCCGTCGTCGGCAGCGGTAGTCAAAAGCTCCCGATGGAGCCTTAATTGTCACCCGCTGAGCTTTTGACCTTAACGCCTTCGCTTCCGCAAGCCGCCTCGATTAGCATCCGATAGCCGTCGTGATTATGGATCGTTCCGACCATCGGCCTCTCTTATGGTCTTGAAAACGTAATCAAAAGTGACAGCGCTTCTCTTTGATTGAAAAATAACGACGTGCTGCTCCCGAACGACGCCCCCTCTCTCGCACACCTTCCACACGCAAAACTCCGCACGAACTGCGCTCACGGCCTCCGCCACCAACCTGGCCCCCTACGCCCACGGCACCACCCCACAAACTGCACGCCCTCCACCCCACCTCCCCCCCCCCAACCTTCCACCTCCAAAGTCTCCGATCCTGGATTTGATTTCAATATTTTCTCCCAATAATTTTCTCCATAATTTTACTTTATTATTACCATTATATTTCAGCAGCGTTTTACAGCCCTCTGTTTGCAATTGGCCAGCCTCTATTCTCTATAGCTTCTAACAGATCTAACACTTAAAAACACTATAAATATACTCCCGAAGATGAACAATATTTGCTCCCGTAAGCTATACAAGGCGTTTAATCTTACAAGTTTGCGAACCTGAGTGAAATCAAGTGCACGGCGCATTCCGGAAAGAAGTTCGTGGTTTTATTCAAGCTTTCCAGGACGAGTCAGCCGTTCCGCCAGCAGAGGAACTTCAAAAGGACGCGGACTCACTGGACGAGACAGCCGCCTATGTAGAGGTGTCTGAAGGAGAGCCGGAAGAAGATTGAAGCAATCGAGAACGTGATTGGCGACTGCGTTTGTTGCCTGTGCAAGGTAGGTATAAACAACTAACTTCTAAATAACTAAGTAATTAGTCCAAATAATAAAGTGATACCTAATGGTAAATATAGCCAAGTAAATAAGTAAATAATGCTCCAGGTGCGTTACGACGACGTCTTCAAACTGGCGCAACATCGTTGTCCTCGAATCGCCCACGAGGAATACCGCTGTCCAGAATGTGAAAAGGTTGGTAGATTGCCAACTTCAAGTTCCAAGATAAAAGCCAGTGAGCCTGAGCCTCTGGTAGCCGATCATGTGCAGGTTAGGATGTTTACAGATGGTGGTGCCACCTGTAGCGGAAGTCTTTGTCGCAAGGTTGTCTGTTTACCCAATAAGGTAGTTGGCGCTCACTTGACAACCGCACTAATCTAGCCGGTCAAGACACCTGGTCGTTTGATTGTGCCGCTCCTTTCTATCCTTTCAGGTCCTTGTAGGTGGCCATGTTTAGTCGTTAAGGATGTTCTCGTGCCTTTGAATAGACTAGCCTGGATACACCTTACGATTACTAAAGAACCGTACTATTCTGGAGGGTTTACCGACAAATATAACGGAACGAAAACAGCGTCCATCAGTTCGTTGTGGGATGCGCCATGCGCCATGATCCAATAAAGAACCGTGAAAGCATTATCAGGCCGCTCATCTGCTCCTCATCAGCTACAACTTTATTTGACATCGGCCCTTTCGAGATGTTAGGCAAATCTTATAGCATTGGAGGGGCTTCTATAGAAATAATACGGTGGATCTAAGTAGGTATAAAATTGCCAGAGTTGTAGACCATGATACGATTTCTATTCTAAAAATTTTGTGTTCTATTTTTTGGTAGTTTTTTGAGCTGAGCTGAAGGTTAAAAGACAAAAATGGGTCATGCTGTAGGCTCTACGCGAACAAAGCAAACCCCTACACTCTCGTCATTTATTAACGTCCACAAAATTTTGCTGTGATCTGGGGCCGTATTCGCAATGGAATTCACAAAATCCATACCAAGTCACCTATTTCGAGCAGAAACTAAAAGTAGGTGCTTAGCCCTGAGAAACCCGTTAAAAGGTCTGAAATCTGACATGGTTCCGATTGGCAGCGGTAAATTCCAGTGGAAGAGAGGACAGTGCAAAGTTTGGAGCGCTTCAGCAATCATTACAAAGATAGGAAAAACCTTCTTAAGATGATAATGGCTCCGTGATGGAATTTCAATCGTTATAAAAATGCCTCCGAACAACTTTTAAGTCAACCTTTGGTGTCTTTAATTTCATGGTTTCTACTCTGATAAATGTCTTAGTCGTTTGTGTTACCGGTAGAGGTTAGCTTGATTCCACCTACAAATGAGGGATTCCAGGCCAACACTTTTCCGCTCATGAATGAGTTTACATTCATCACCGCTGCAAAGCGCCCACATAGTGCGTGGCTGACTCTTCAGTGATTGGTTCCTTTCACTTTTCCCATGGGTACTGTGTAAG